GCGCTGGGCAGCGCCTGCCAACATCGTAAAATAACTTTAAAAAGTCCCTCCTGACAATGAATTAGTTGCGTAGAAGACGAAAAAACAAACAAACAAGAAGCAACAGTCTTTATGTATAATATATATATAATATAATATATAATATACAGTCACAGCCACTGTATATTAATTATCCAATATGAAGCGCTCTAACCGGACCGGTAAAGCAGGAGTGTAAAAATCAAGGCCTGTGCTGTTTTTCTTATTGCTGTACCGTGCCGTCCGCTCGGGCAGAGCCTGTCAACCGGGCGGGTTGTTGTCAGGAGACTGTCTTCACACAGACACCCCTCGGAGTCGTCGCTCGCTTCCCCTCATACAGGCAGCGTACAGCAGGGACGCTGAGCTAACCGCTTCAGAAGGATGTCGATACATGGCTCCGGTTTTTTACCGAACTTTAACATCTGACCTGCAGCAGAGAACCAAGACACCTGCTGTAATGGCGCTCGTAACAAAAGTGTCGCTGCCAGAGGTCTTTTATCTTTAACTTTTAAAATATATATTTATGACCAAAACCAAAACAAACGCCATTTCGCTGTACAGCACATTTCCCATAACAGGTTTACTGGAGATGATGGAGTTTCTTTTTAAAGAGACTTTATTAACTGACGTGAGGGCTCTGGACTCGCTCCTCACGGATACTGGCCCGGGGGCCCAGTCTGTGGGACTTGTGTCTCCGGGGAGGCGAGCGCCCCGTCAGTCCTCCGAGAGCCTTCCACTCGTGTTGACCCACTCGCTCTCCCTTGACCCCCCACGGATCACTCCTGCCAGCGAGACCCCCGCGTTCGGCTCGCGGACTGAACCCCCTCGAACTCGCGCGCCTGTTTCTGCAACCTGTCACTGAGGGTTAAATATTATTATTATTACTAATGATAATAAACATCTGAAATCCCCCATGCTTGTTTCTGTGAACCTTTGAGTGAAGTAACCAGTAGCAGCTCTCTACATATTTTTCAATTCCGCTTCACAAGGTGTTTTTTTTTTTACTTTATCTGTTGGATATTAGTATTAAGCAGTTCTTTGCCGTCAGCATGATTTTGGAGACATTTATTTCATTTTATACAAAAATAACGAAAAGGGAAGCTCACCCGGTGATTCTTCGTGAGCTCGGATGTGTGAGAGGGTCCCTACCCTCTCTGTCCAGCGGCCCGTGAATGAGGTCAAGGGTGAACGTTTACGGAGGAGGTCTTTCAGTCAACTTTGCACTTTTGAGGTTCCTGGGAGCCCAATGATCTGGGGATGACCCCCTCTTCTTGGGGGGGGGGGGGGGGTATTGCAGGGAATCGGCTTCAGCAGCGCGGTGGGGCGTCTTGTTGCAGACCCCCGCGCCTCTTGGTGTAAAGTAGTGCCTCATGGGTTTTATCCTCCTGCGTCCTCCGCCCGGGCTCGTTTCCGCCGACGCGGCGTGCTTTCGCGGCGAACACCCTGCCTGAAAGATCTGCACGCCCCAAACCCACCTTTCTTTCGTGATTATTTCTGCTGCGACACTGGTCCCAGACCCCAGCGCTTTCCAGAGACGCGCCCCAGTCCCGCGTGTGTTACGTCTCGCCCTCACACTGACGAAAAGCCGACGCGTCGCCTTCGCTTTCCCCACCTCGCTCGCTAGCTGTGACTGTCGGGGGGGTTCCGTGTCCCGCCTCGCCCCCCCCTCCCCCGAAACCCCGGACTTCGCCCCACGCGCTACAGCTCTCGTTGCAACGTTTTTTATTTGGGTGTTCTCTTATTTGAATGTCAAAGTGTGTTGGGAAAAAAAAACAACTAAAATAAAATTCAACGAGTGTGTCTGGTGTCTCTTGTTTTAATGTGTACCGGTTACGTCCACGCATGACAGTACCGTTTAAAGTAATGCGAGGATCACCTTCAGCCATAGCGCCTGTTGCCTTGCTTTGGTAAGTAGTGTATTGAGCACCGATGCATTTAGCGCCTCTAGTTCGTTAGGAAGTTCCTACACTGCTGAACCTCACGCGGAGCTCAGGGCGCTGGAGCGCAGCACTTCATTGCATTTTAAGAGAGAATCGAGCGGGACGAGAGGGGGAATCGCAGAGGCAAACTGGGAATGCGTGTCTGTGCGTGGGGTCGGGTGGGGTGTCGGGGGTGAACAACAACAGACGACCCGTGGACGTCCTCACGATGTAAATGTCTTTTTTTTAAAAAAACACCAAAACAACAACAAATATCTTCTTTTCCCATAACGCAATGCCAAAACCACTCGTCGTGTTGGGTCAGTTTGGGGGCACTGATAGGAGAGTCAACGTCCCCACGGACACGGGAGCGGGCAGAACAGTTCCCTGCACGCGATGTCACCCGCGGAGCACAGAGCGGCGTCTGCTAGATGACACGTGCCCTCGCGTGGGAGTGGACGGTGGATAAACACAATTTGGACTCTTTACAACCCACTTGAGGGTAATACGTTTTGTGATGTGTTAGAAATGTTACATGTTGTTAGGTGTTATACATGTGCAATAGAGAGATGTACAATGCTTTTTTTCCCTTCTTTCTTTTTCGGTTTGCATTCTATTTAAATGTACAGGAGTGCTCTGTGTCCATAGAAAAGTTCCCCAGGGGACAATAAAATCTTATTTTATCTTCAATCCACTGAGCTCGACACACCCTACCTAGAGCCGAAGGGATGCGATGCGTGTCTCGGCCAGCAGGGGGAGTCCTGCCTACTAATTACAATAACAAAATGAAGGGGGGAAATAGAGACTAGAATAAAGTTTTTTTTCTTTTTGGTCCTTAAAAGATGAGATTTCTTAACAATTACCTTAAGAAGAATAAAACCACACCCCTCCTCTTATCTCCCTCTTACTGCTATTTTTAAAAACCGCGTTACAGCGGGAGAAAGGATCCGCCAAGAACGTCAAGCAAAGCTGTGAGCTCGTTATCTACCCCAGGTGGCGCTATGGAGGAGTTTTCTGCTGGCTGCTTGTGAAGTCTTCCCTCTAAAGCTGCCACCCCCTCGATGGTGCGTGTGTGTCCATTCTGGGACCTTCGCGGAGGTAGGAGTAATTGCAGTCCGGAGCTGCGGAACCGCCTTGCGCGTCCCCGTCCCGTCCCGTCCCGTCCCGCAGAGCCCAGAGAAGCAGAGGCAGGCGGCGCGGTGCGGCGCGCCCGCTGGAGCTATGTGACATCTGCGGAGGAGACGGCGTCGTTTGCGGAGCTCGGATCCCCGTCAGCGATGAACCCGCAGAAAGGTACCGCTGTTCTACCGACGCTGCGCCTCCGTGCCGTTTCCACAGCGGCCGGACTCGTGCTGCGGAGGAAGAGCGTAGACGGACCCGGGGGGCACAAAGGGGACGCGGGGTGTGTGTGTGTGGAGGGGGGGGGTTGCGTTCCGTTGTTTTCCTTCTTTTAATCCGGGGTGTCTTTAGCGCACCCCTCTTCCCGAGCTTGCAACACGGACCGGCGCTTGCAGCGTAACGTGCGGAGATCGCTCGTCCGTGTCTGAAGTGTTGATCTCCTCGAACTGTGTAGTACTTGTTGCCTTGCTTTTATAACTGTTGCATTGAGTTCTCCAACGCACTTAGCACGGAAGCCTCTTGATTCGTGAAGGAGCTCCTCTGCTGTTGAACAACACGAGATTAGCGCGCCGGAGAGCCTCATTTCGTTGAATTTTAAGAAGGGGGTCGAGGTTTGCGTTTAATGACACTGTTTTTTTCTCTCTCTTAAATGTCGATGCTGAACAGTTCGGCTCGTACACTGACGCGAAGTGCCTTATAGCCGCTTTCACGTCTGCTGACCTTCTGTATCAGTGCGTCGTTAAAAGTTTTTTTTCCCTTGAGAAGATGAAAGGTTTCTGTGGCTCCTGGCAGGGTTGTGCGCGAGTTTAGCCCATCGGGGGGGGGTCCTTTATTTTTTTAAAGACGTCTAAATAGCGGACTCCTGTTTGAAACTGTGGATGCGCGATGTGGACGGACTGGAAAGAGAATAACTAATGATTCAGTCGGAGTGGGGAGAAACCTCTGCAGATTTCGGAGGGGTTAGCGAAGTGTCAATCACCTTTGTGATTAACACAATGAAGTGTTAATTAAAGAGTGAGGAGCACAGGTCCTGTCGCTACCTGGTCCCCAGACGTCCGGATGAGCCTATAAGCCGTCATTCAGCAAGACTTTTACTGTACTTTAGTTTTAGCTGTGATTCCCGGTGCGCGACGGTGCGGGCCGGTGAGAACAGCTGCAGGCGACGGGGGTGGGGTTTGAATTGCTTTTACACATTAGCTCCTAACGCGGTGACAAAGGTGAGGTATCCAGCACGCAGCACAGTGCAGAGTCCTGGCGGACCGGGAAAACCCGAGGAGGATCACACTGCTCTGCAGCCGGACTGCCTAGTGCGTGCAGGAGCAGATTTAGGGTCGCAGCTGTAGGTGTGGGGGGAGCCGGAGCGCTGCTGACTGTCCGCTAGTGAAGAACTGCGAGGGGGGGGTCGTCGCGGGTCTGTCAGACAGCGCTGTGCTGCAGCCAAGCGCAGACTTGATCTCCCTGGCACGACGGTCGTAGTCTTTGTTTTTCGCGTTTCGTGACCGCGGCGTGGGGTTGGACGTGTCAGACGTTACTGGACGCGGTGGCCTGAGCCGAACCTCAGAAGCTGGTGTGCGACGGGTAACGTGGAGGGCTGTTTTGAGCAGAGCGAGGCTCTGCAACTTTATCATTGTAAAGGAATGTCTGTAATAGCTTCAGCGCAGCAATCGGAAATACCCTCACCCCCCCTTCCTCAAATCTCGGGAGAGGGGGAGGCAGGGGGGGTTGTTTGTCTAAAGACTAATAAAGATCTCGGCGGAGTCGTATCTTCTGGCCTGCGGATCTGCTGCGCTCTGTGAGGAAGGGAAATACCGGCTCCACCGAACCCTGTGCTCAATCATTATTCATCCCTTTCTTTCGCCCCTGTAAGCTAACCCAGAGTGGAAACAAAAATGACATCATTGGGTTTGCACGGATAGTGTTTCACCACAGCAGCGCTTTCTCTCTTTCTCTCTTTCTCTCTTTCTCGGGGCCCTGTAGTTCCCTGCTAACTCAATCCGTTCCTCGCTCCCGCAAGAGCTCTCTGGACGGGACGGGGCTGGCTAGGTGCTGATTCCGATTACAAAAAATATTTTGCTTTCCATCCATCTTCATTGTCATTTAGATGCAGCATGCACGCTGGACATTAGGATTGTAGGATTGATGGTCAGGGTATGGATGCCGGACAGGAGGATTGTGGGATTGGTGGTCGGGGTATGGATGCTGGACAGGAGGATTGTGGGACTGGTGGTCAGGGTATGGTTGTTGGACAGGAGGATTGTGGGATTGGTGGTCAGGGTATGGATGCTGGACAGGAGGATTGTGGGATTGGTGTCAGGGTATGAATGCTAGACAGGAGGATTGTGGGATTGATGGTCAGGGTATGGACGCTGGACAGGAGGATTGTGGGACTGGTGGTTGGGGGTGTGGACACTGGTCAGAAGGACTGTGGGACTGGTGGATGGTGGTCTGGATGCTGAACAGGAGGATTGTGGGACTGGTGATCTGCTGTTTGGATGCAAGACAGGAGGGTTGTGGGACTGGTGGTCGAGGGTGTGAATGCTGGACAGGAGGACTGTGGGATTTGTGGACTGGAGTGTGGACGCTGGGCAGGAGGATTGTGCGACTGGGGTCTGGATGCTGGACAAGATGGACGTGAACTGGTGGTCTGGACACTGGAGAATGGGATTGTGGGACTGGTCCTCAGGGGTGTGCATGCTGGTCAGCAGGATTGTGGGACTAGTGGCTGGAGGTCTGGATGACTGACAGGAGGATTGTTGGACTACTGGGGGTCTGGACAATTGATTAAATGGTTTTGGTGTATTTTATATACTTGATAATTCATGACTCATTCTTCCAAATCACTTCATTTAAAAGAGATATGAGACCTGAGGTGATGAGGAGATTTAATCTGCTGTAAATTTTGTGTTCAGTGAAAATATAGAAAAAAAACACTGGAATCAATAAGCCTCACTTATCAAGAGGTGGTATGTTGGAGGCTGTTTGTGGTCTGGGCATACACAAGGCACAAGATGAATCAGAAGATCCCAGTGTGAAGGACACTAGTGAATGTGTGTGGCACAGACTTGAAGAACAGGACACTGGGGACAGCAGCCCAGTCCAGAGGGAGCTCCAGCTCTGGTGGACACCAGTGAGACTGGCAGAACAGGACACTGGGCACAGCAGCCCAGTCCAGAGGGAGCTCCAGCTGTGGTGGACAGGCAGCAGTTGCTGGTGGCTACAGATCTCTGCCTGTAGGGACTGATGGGGTCCTTAGTGCTGGTGCTGCAGTGCTCAGGGACTGTGGGCTCCTCCTGCCCGTCCGCTCTGCTGCAGGACCACACTCATCCTCGTGCCCCTCGAGCAGCAGCAGCAGCTGTCCCGGCGGGCGATGGGCTGTCCTTGCCAGGCTCGAGCCCCTGTGAGCGCGTGTGGGCTGAGCCAGGGCCGTGAACAGGCACAGGCTGGTCCCGGCGGGGGGAGAGGAAGGGGACAGAACCCCACCAGCCAGCAGCCGCACCCCCGCTGTTGAGCAGGAGCCCCAGACGTGCGGCGTCACCGCGTCCGGCCGTGTCCACACCTGTTACTGACCTGGGACTCGCAGCAGAGCCCCTGTTGTTCAACACTTGAATGATCCTGTGTCATGTCTGTTTAATAAATGACAATATTTCTGTTGCAGTTGCACTGACATTTTCCTTAAATGAGCAATAAACTCACAAAGTTATTAGTGACAGGTTTCTTTCACTGCTCAGTGTACAAGCATACTAGTGGTGCCAGGTGACTTTACACCATCAAATGTGTAAAATAGTTGGATTGACAGTATATAGTAATATTTATATGGTCTGCCTGTTCCATTTTAGTTTGCTTCCTATGAGGAGCCTCCCTGGTATTTAAATGAATGTGAATGAAAAGAAAATTGTTTCAGAAAGCCTGCAATTAAGGATTTTAAAACTAAAGAGTCCTTCCACTGGCCTGCCAAGACCATCACTGTTACTGATTAAATTCTCATCCAGTGAGCCTCTTCTTGATTCCAGAGCCAGATAACTCCCCTGCTGGCAGCTCCCCATGCAGAACCACGCAGATTCCCCCAGCGGACTCGGGTCAGGATAGGTGTTGGTGATCACGATCGTGACAAGGAGTGTACCCCGAGTGCAGACGGGGGCGTTAGAGCCAGCATTGGGGAGCCCTGCACAGGGCGCCCCCCCGTGTGGCCCATGAGACCCAGCTGGCGCAGTCCCAGCTGCTGCAGTCCTGAAAGTCAGGCGTGTCAGATCAGCTCCTGCAGGGCCTGGTGTCCACTGCCTGGTTCACTAGGAATAGTGTCCTGAAAGGAGTCTTGTAGAGAAACGAGTCCCAGTGCAGCTCAGTGAAGGATTGAAAGCGATTTATTCATAATGAAGAGGCCTCCTGGAGATCAGACTGACAGAGCAAACCTCTACCTATCTGATCTGCTTGCCATGGCTCACAAACATCCCTTTATACTCTAAAACACCTCCTCTGTGTACCCAACATGGTATTGGAGAAGCACATATTTAAGGATCAATATATTTAGGGCTAACCTCTGATCCATCCTACAGACTTCCATATATGCAAGACCACATCATGCTTGCTCAGCTCATCTGTCAGATTCTTTTGTTGCAACAGCTAAGCTATTAACAATGATCCGACATATGCAAAGACATTGGTCCGTATTAGTAAGACTTAAAAGTTACAGGTTTCATAGAAAGATGTCCCAATGAGGTTGTACACCTGGTGTTTGTACCGCATGTCTTTCACACAAGAAATTCTTGCACTTCCTGTGAAGAAATTATATAAAGAAATCAAAATACTACAGTATGGAGGGTTTCGGGAAAATTTGGCTGCACACTGGTGGTGGTGGAGGGGATCCCCATTACCTGTACAGCGCTTTGAGTGGAGTGTCCAGAAAAGCGCTATATAAGTGCAGGGAATTATTTCTAATAATTATCCGTTCAGCGTCTGACCAGCACCGCGCGATTCCAGTGTCATCTTTATCCCCTCTGGAAGGCGACCCTGTCTTTTCCCCCTTTCCGCAGGGGAACGGCGGCTCACAACAGAGGAGATCCGTATTGGGTACGGAATGTCGATCCCACTCCGCGTGGGGCTGTGGGGGGATGTCCCGCAGGGCCACACCTGCCTGCACCCTGCGGGACGCTGGGAGCGGCTTGTCTCGCTTTCCGATCGCTTCTTTTTTTCCAGATTTGGGTTTTTTTCCCGAGCGGGCATGTGCGATCCAAACACCCGGACTTCAAAGCCGCCTGCGCCAGTCACATGTGCCGGACAGGATGTGGTGCTGATGTCGTGATAGAGCTGTCTTGTGGGAAGATCAACGGGCCGATTCCTGACTGGGAACATTCAGCTTTGCTCAACAGTGTTTGGGGGTTTGGGAAGCACATTGGCTTCTGGAAAAAGCAGAAGACATTAACCCCCCCCAGCCCTCTCCTGCCCCGGGGGCAGACAGCAGAGCTCCGGTTCTTTCACGGCCATTAGGCACGGTCCGCGCTGAACAACAAAGCGTGAAATCTGATTTAGGCCACCACATCGCCACATTGCCTTTGATTTGTCTGTCCTCCTGGAGCGAATTTCGCCCTCGTCCGAGCTGCGACTGCGTTCCCCACGACGTTCCCTTCTTCAAGAAGCACCAGGCCGGTTTATCTCACAGCCCCATCAGAACCGGTCAACACCGTTCAGCTCAGCTCTCTGGTCTCCTTGGGACTCCACCGCTGGAAGTACCCACACGCGGACTTTTCGGAATCATTTTTTTGTCTGACCGTGCGGAAGAAGCGATTGTAGCTTCCGGTCGTTAGCTAGGTGAGGGAAGGTTATAGAGGGAAAGATAAAGAAAGCGGAAGAGTGGCTGAAGAGCGTTTCAGGGTCCGGTGCGAGGACAAGGTCTGGGGCTGGAAAGGGGGGTGTGTAGGTGTTTCCCTCTCGCCCAGAGTTCCAGCACGTACAGCGCCCTGAGCGGAAATTTCAGACTCTACAAAGGGGCGGAGTGGTGGCTCTGTAGCTCAGGATCTGCGCCAGTGGCTGGGAGGTTGCTGGTTCATATCCTGCGACCGGAAGAGGAATCCTACTCCGTTGGGCCCCCAAGCCTGCAAAAAGACAAATTCCTAATGCAAGAAACTGTATATGGCCAATAAAGTGATCTGATCCCATCTGACACAGCTCCCGGGCTTGGACTCTCGGCACCAGGCGAACCTGCGGCCACTGACAAGTGTCCGAGAGCAGCTCAGAGCAGCCCAGATCACCTCCACACGCACAGCAGGCTAAGGACCGCCCTCAGTGGGAGCCTGCAGCCCCAGCCCTTGAAATAAGAGCTTCAGATGAAAGAACAGCACGGAGACACCATCAACAAACACCCCCCCTCCTCCTCCTCCTCCTCCTCCTCCTCCTCTCGGGAAGGACGAGTGGGCAAGGTAAACATTTCCGAAATGCGAAAAATGCCTCCTGCTCAAGCCTGATCTGCTAATTAGCGAGCGAAACGAGAAGAAAATGAGGCGCATGGCTCGGGCTTTGTGTGGCCGTGAATAGGTCTCTCTGTGGCTTGTGTTCTGGATCTGCCCATGTGTGTGCGTGTGTGTGTGTGTGTGTGTGGGGGGGGTGAGACATAGAGGTCAGATTTCTCAGCGTAATTAAATGTGAAGGACAGGGCTGGCCAGGGGCTGCGCTTCTCGCTCTCTAACCCGAAATATATTCATTAGGAATTCAGTAGGAATAGTCGTTGACTTTTGGACCACAGCGATTGACTCTCACCTTTCACCCTTAGTTGCGCTTCGGCAAAGCGAGATAAAACAAAATCAAGAAAGGAGCTGTGCGGGGGTCCTCCCTCCTCAGGGGACGGCGTGCTAGACGCCATGAGTGAGGTGGGCTTTCATCGCAACGCTGCCTGGATCTGAGGTGAATTCACCTGCAGAGGATCTGTAGGAGCTGGATTCAACATGAGCCAATCAGGAGTTCAGGAACAGAGGTGGCGACTGTCAAGTTCACAAACACGCTCAGTTGTGCGTAGAATTCGCATCTGACACACGATTCCATTTGGCGCTGGGCAGCAGAGTGACCTGGGCCCCGTGTGCAAACGGTACTTACATTAAAGCCGAAAAAAAACAGCACCCACTGTCCCCATTGTCTGCAGGGCCAAAGATGTTTGTGTCTTTCTGGATGTCTCAGTCTGGTCAGGAGGATGTCCTACGAGGAGCTGACCGCGAGCTGGGGGTCTTGAGCCAGCAGCCCCTTCTCTGTGGGAGTAATGGTACCAATAGGCCTGATGCTGTGACACATCAATGAAATGCACCCCTGAAATGAATACGGTCGTATTGTTGCCGAACGGAGGCTAGTTTCCAAAAGCGGGCAGCAGAAATGGAGAGGAAATATTAGGGTAGTGTGGTGAGGTGATGAAACTGCAGGGAGAGCAGGACTGTAGCCTCACCACAGGTACTGCCTGCTCGCTCAGCGCAGGAAGACTGGACCACGGTCCTGTCCGAGCCCCGTGGGTACTACCCAACTCTCTCACGCCTTGAACGCTTTTCAAGGGGTCAGTGGAGCTAGACGTTGAGGCAAAGAGAGACGCAGGGTTCCCCAAGGAGAACAGGACTGAATAGGCCTGGTCACCCCCACCACCACCCTACACACACACACACTGCAGAACAAGAAAGTGTGTTTAGAGACGTGTCTGGCCTGTCTCAGGGGCGCCCCCTGGCTGTGAGGTCCCAGAGTCCATGGGGAGGAGGAGAATGAGGAGAGGGGGTGGCTGTGCAGAGATCTGCTGACAAAATGAGTCCCAGGCCCAGGGTAATAAACCGGGCAGCTGGGGGAGGAGAGAGGGATAGACATTGCTCGACAGTAACAACAACAACAACAGAAACATGTCTGAAGACTGCCAGGCTGCCAGGCTGTTTGGTTTTCTGTGGAAATGCCTGGGAGTTAGTCACTTCAGTGACTGCAGCTGATTTCGCAGCAGAGATGCCTGAATTATGCTGAAACAATTGAGCCCCAGCATGAAGCACTCTTCTGTTAATGGAGTGAGAGGCCTTCATTCAGCTGGGCCGCTGTATGGACTGAGCGCGCGCTGGGGCGTCCTTTTCAGACAGAGAATTTAAAGGCCATTCAAGGCCATAACAAGTGGCCTGTCTTTTTGTGGTGCAGTGTTTCTTGTGGCCGTGCTGGGCAGAAAGGCCTTATTTTCTACCAAAATAATATATACAGGCAGCTCTGGGGCAGCAGTACAATGGCTCTCTGAGGCTGGCCTCCCCCTCTGCGCCCCCTGGCCTGTCTGTTTACTGTGATAACATAAGTGGGATTGTGCTGCGTGCTCGTCTGTGAGCGCCGGGCTCCCACCTCTCCAGGCTAAGAGCTGTTTTCTCTGCCCTCTTCATGTGATGGTGTGGTCATGCGGGATCCCGTAGCTGCGTCGGGTGCCCCTAGTTTCCTTCGAGATGAGTTTCTGCCAGGTGTATTCGGGCGGCCGGGGTCTCGGTAAGACCTCGGGGTCTTGCTGCGGTGTGACAGAGACCGCCAGGCCTGTTCCTGGTTCTCAGTGCAGTTTGTTTCTTTTTTCCTGATCCGGCGGGATTCAGCCTTGGGCTGCCGGACAGCACAGAGGGGTGAGTCCTGGTCCTGGTCCTGGTCCCCCCCAACACTTACACACACACCTCCCCGGAATTAGCTGAGGCCCGGAGCGTGTGAGAGCCCGTGAAGCATCCGGGGTTCAAACACGAGTGAGGCTCGGAAACAGTGCTGGGGGGGGGAGGGGGGTCCCCTTTCTCATCTGGCCTGTGAGGGTTTCCCTCTGGGTGCCCCTGTACTGCCCTTCCAGGGACACCCCTCTAACATCTCAGAAACCGAATGGAGGGGGACACCCCCTCTCTATTGTCCCGTGAGGGACCCCACTGAAAGATTCTGGGGAGCTCCAGTGATTCAGAATGTGGTAGCCCCTGGTTTCCCTGTACAGGTGTGGTATTGATGGCATGGGGTTCCCAGTGCTTGAGCTCCAGGAGGAGGTGGGCTGTCAAGCCATGACAACACAGCCCACGCCATCACTCCCATCGCTAGCTGTGGCCTTAATGTCACTCAGTGCTTGATCTCCCCTCTCCGCAGAGCTGAGCCAGCTGATCTCGGACCTGCAGTCCTTCCTGCTGGTGCTGGACCGCGAGAATCTCAGCTACATCGCTCAGGCCAAGAAGAAGTCCATTTCGGACCTGCTCTCCAGGATGCAGGACACGCCGGGTATGTGGGCAGCTTCTTCCCTCGTTGTTTGCGTTGCCCGGGCATGGCTTTTAAAATAATCATTTCAACCTGCCTGGAATTCAGATGGGTTCAGCGGGGTGGCGCAGCAGTTTTGCCTTCCTGCCTCGCAACACTGGGGCCCCGGATCTGGGGAGCTATCTGTGTGGAGTTTTTATGTTCTCCCCACATTCATGTGGTTTCCACCCACAGTCCAAAGACATACTGCTAGTCCTGTGATGGACTGGTGTCTCGTCCAGGGTGCACCCTGTCTTGAGCCTGTAGCTTGCAGGGATAGGCTCCAGCTCCCCTGTGACCCTGTATTGGATAAAGCCAATTAGAAAATAAGATCAGATGACTTTATTGGCCATATACAATTTCTTGCATTAGGAATTTGTCTTTTCACAGACCCCAGCCTGTTCTCCAGGAGACACACAGACAGGGAGAGAAGCTGGGGGTCAGAGTGCAGGGTCAGCCATTTATACGGCGCCCCTGGAGCAGTTGGGGTGAAGGGCCTTGCTCAGGGGCCCAACAGAGTAGGATTCCTCTGATCCGATCCGGCAACCTTCCAGCTACAGGCACAGATCCTTAGCCACAGGAATCCAGATTTTTGCAGAAGTCTGTTCCGATTCCAAGCAAAGACCAGGCTGAACAACAAGAGAGGTGAACAGATCTCACAGGCCTGTCGGAAACTGAAGACACCCCTGGATGAGACCCGTGAAATGTGGCTCTGCTGAGACTTCTTTCACCCAGTCACACCATGCTAAAGTCATCGTCTTGTTTGCCAGCACTCCAAAACTCTTCTCCCTGCAGAAGTGAGGATTAGTGAAATACAAAGAGACTCTGCTTCAGTTTTAGCAGATCCTGCCTTTCAAGGATTTAGCTTCTTCCATTAGGTGAGCAAAGATAATCATCCCCAGTACAGTCCCTGAACAGCCATCTCCTAATCCCACTGAGCTCATGTCTGGGGCACCAGGAGGCCAGGAGTGCCTCTGGCTGGCCTTTCCCATCCGTGCAGCAGAAGACAGGGAGACATCACCTTCCCCGGAAAAGCAGCTCTGGTTTTGGATGGAAAAGGCAGGAGAATTATCCTCTGAGTGACGGCGGACGCTTTGGCAGGAGAGAAGGAGGCAGGGAGAGATCTGAAAAACCCTGAGACGCCTCCTGTGTGTTGGGAGTGGGAGATGTGTAAATTCCCTCCTTTAATTTTGATGAAAATGCCCACGTTTGCCTTTGGGCTCAATGGTTACAATGTAAATGAAAGGCCTGATTGACAAGCTGTTTAACAGGGGTGACCTAAACCTTCTCATGGCCAGAAGCCGCTCTCTGGTTGATGTGGAAAGGAGGTTTTCCATGTTGGTTTAAAGCCTACAGACAGGCCAATCATTTTGCTATTGCTGTGTACAGTATGCTCACAATGCAAAAGACGTTTGTGATCGGATGACCTTTGACCTCACCCCAAAGTGGGCAGGAACATTAAAGAGGATGGAAGGGGGATTGAAACGCTTCCTACCTTGGGCTGTAGTTGCAAGCTGATGAATAGCTCATGTGTGGGCATTCCATTCAAACAGAGACCACCTGTGCTGATTTCAAACCCAGGGCCCCACCTCTGATCCCTGACTGGCTGGTGTCCTCCTTCCCATTATCTTTTGCAAAGATCAGCTTGCCCAGCTTTGCTTCCAAGCTCAACCAATCAATCCAATTAAGGAACGGATTCATTGCATTTGCAGTGCACACTGCTGCTCAGGTGAGGACGATGACAGTCAACGCCAGCAGAGCCCATCAGCCAGTGTTATGGTGGTGACCTGCTGGGCAGATATTTTCTCCTGTGCCATGAGGCCGGCGACCAGCGGGATTTTGCAGGCGATTCTGTGCGGTTTTTATCTGACCTCGGCCTGCTTTTCTTCTCTGTTTTGCTCTGCCTCTCTCGCCCCGGCCCTGGGTCCCAGTGGAGGATGCGGAGTACATGGTCATGAACTGCCCTACAGGAGCTGCGAGGGCTGAGCTCCAGGAAACAGGTAAGAGCTGGGGACGACTCACCTCCGCCCCGCCGCACGCTGCCAGATTCGTCATCACTCACGGGTGCAAAATGCACGAATACGTTCTTGGGAAAAAAGGAAAAGTAGAGATGTGTATATCCCTTTATCTCTCCACTAAGCCCAAAATAGTTTTCCCATGCAATAGCACCGGTTTCACCGGGGTGGGGCAGCCCCCTCTGATCCAGAGCTGCATTCAGGCCTTCGTTGTTAAGCTGGTGCTGCTGATCGTCGAGCTTGCAGAGCTGGGGAGGTGTTGCTTGTGCGCTGTCTGTGGTGCAGTGGCTGGAGGGTAGACAGGGGCTGCAAGCACAGTGGAGCTCACACTAGGGAACAGAGAGGGGGGCAGAAATGGAGCCTGTTTTCCCTGCTGCTTGGGAGGATGCAGGCTCTGCCGTCTGCAGCGTCCGCGCCCAGCAGCTGGCCATTTTGTGCTTGGAACATTTGCAAGAGGACAGGAAAATATTTGGGGACACTTAGGCCCATCACAGCCTGCTGTCCTCCACAGCAGCGGTGCCAAGCCATTCCTGCAGGGGTTTGAGGTCTCTACATCAGCAGTCAGGCTGCTCTCATTAACCAGTAATTACTGCGGGAATGATCACTCCCAGGAGAGCCGTGGGATGCCAGCATGTCAGCGGAAGAGCAGTGTTAGAAGAGGGGGATCTGGTTTTATAGCAAGTCACTGATCTGAGCGGCTTGTCCAGCCATTTCCTTGACGATCCTGCAGGACCTGGTGTCTCTGTGAGCCTGCAGTAGGGTTTACAGCGTAGGTCCCTTTGGGACAGGGGCAGGGGTGTCAGGTCCCGATGTCTAGTGCAAGGGTCTCCCACCCTGATCCCGGAGAGCTCCAGTCCAGCACGTTTCATTGGAAGCCTTTAGATCATCGACTTCTAAAACTCTAGAAGAATTTTACGAAGATCATTCAGAGAGGTGGTGAGCTCAAATAAGTCATGGAAAGATCGTGTGGAATACAAAATCAGAATGTCATTTAGCCCCCAAAGACCAGTGTTCCCTTCGCTGAAACATTACTTCCTTAATTCAGCAATGCCTTGAACAATTGTTCCTAATCTTTGAATCACGGTTGATTTAGGGTGACTTATAAGATTAACTGGACTGGGGCTCTCCAGGACCAGGACTGAAGACCGCCTTGTCTAGTGTCTAGCGCACGGGTGGCCAGTCCTAATCCTGGAGTTCTGGTGTGCCTCCGGATTTTCATTCTAACTCCGCTGTCACTGACCTAAATCAGATCATTATTGGCTTCAGGTGACCAATTAAACAGCTTGTCCCAGCCCTGCAGGTGCTCGAACTTTGTGGAGATCTGTATAACCTTCAGATAGTGTCAGCTGCAGGGATCTCCAAAAACGAGACCTGCGTGTCGCCATCCAGCACTTCCTGTAGGACACCATTAAACCAGTTTCTAAAGACAGGGAACAACTCTGCTGTGATTCATTCAGCAGGTGATTAGTTGCATTAAATAGCATATTTTTTAGGTTAAAATCTAGTGCTTTTCAGCCTTCAAGATAGGTAACTGCTTCACCATGCATAGGCTGCAAAGGAACAGGTTAAGGCTTATTCCCTGCTGAAAGGAAAAGAAAAGACATAATATTTCAGCTGTGGAGCCTCCTTTCAAGATAGCTGTCCCAGATTATTTGTCTTAGTGGAACAGACTGCTTGATTTGCTCATCTGGTTGAACACCTTCAGGTGACCGATGACCTTCAGCAACAGGTGACCTGTAAGAGTTACTGGACTCTCCAGGACCAGGCCCCAGGCCTGAAGAAGCCTGCTGTATGGTCTCATTTGTGTTCCACCAGAGCTGTTGGTAACATACTGTAGCTGATCCAATTTTAATTAGGTGCATAACTGCTGCAATACTTCAGTCCAGGCTCTGAGGTGTCTTTACCATTACTGTACTTTAAATGAGGTTTATGTTTTGAGCAACCAACAGGCCTCACATCAAAGCTGAAACGTTGTGGTTCCTTTCTTTTCTTCTCAGCATGGAATAAACCTGTTACCGGTTCTTTTGCAGCCTACGCATGCTGACGTAGCAACCTACTTGAACTACATATCCTATATATGTCTGACTAAGACAGAAATTGGGTTAATTGTTTAAATAGTCAGGTAGGAACATATCCCAGGAGACACCAGGCCCACCAGGACTTGAACTTGCTGGGTTATACTTATCAGCACTTATAGGACCTTGGTCAAGCCTGTGCTCAAGCCTGCAGGCCTCAGATGAGTTTCTGTTGGCAATACCGGCGGAGGAAGAATAGGGCTGTAGCCATTGGCGGTATTAACAGGGCCTTCCTGTGCTCTTCCTCACTCAGCTCCTGTCAGCGCCAATGAACTGAGAATGGCAGGATAAGGGGGTACAGTAAATTAACCGTGGGTGGGGGGAGGTGGCCGAGGGGCCCGGGGACAATGCGATACAGTTCCCGGGAGCTGCAGAAATGCGTCACTGCCACAGCCTTCCTCCCTGCAGGAGAGAGTGGGCAGTGCCAGGCGCCCTCCTCGTCCTCGTCCCTGACGCAGTGGCCTCTGAAGTGGGTGAGTGGGTATGCGTTTCTTCCTCTTTCCTCGGGTCTTGTGCCCACATGCATACTGCTGCACACACAGCACCTCCTCTGCCTGCCCACTCCCACATCTGGAGTCACACCCACTCACCCCACACACCCACGCTTGTATGTGAAACCCCCCCCCCCCACAGGGTCCCAAGCGAACTGTTCTTCTCTGGCTCAGCCCGAGTTCAGGGACGACAGACACCGTCCGATTCCACTGAGGTGTGTAATCCAGGGCAGAAGCTGCAGACACTGTCTATGGAGGTCAAATGTGTGAAGGCATGTTGTAGATGTCTGTATGTCGCTGTATTAAAGTAGTAGTTCTTGTCATCTCGAAAGATCCAAAAGCTCTTTATATACAGGAGGGAACCCACTTCATTCTCCCACTGAAATACAGTTTCACCTGGGAGACACGCAGTGTTCATTCTGCCCCAGCAGCCCCACCTGGGAGACACACAGCGGCCATTCTGCCCCAGCA